ACAGCTCAGGCAGACCCTGGCTCTGTCCTCGCATAATGCTGGGAGCCCTTCTGATGACATCTCAGGTACCGGCCTCTGATTAAACATGTCTGGTGATAATGATGCTATTTCACAGGACGCGGATCATTCCCTTTTCACAGTTACATGGTTTTCGGGCCTGGAGGGGGACTGAGGAGTTCATCCTACCTGGTTGCTTCTGGACTTAACTTTGCAAGCGAACTCCTACTCAGAACACTAACCTGACCGGCGGATATAACATCAGCCGTACTGCACGTGTGGCCCTGCTCACCTGACGGCCCTTCTCGCTCCCCTGAGAGGCCCCCTCCTCAGATCCCTAAGACCCTGGCCCAGGAGTTTGGATCAAGTCTCACAATTAGAAAGATGTGTCCCAAAGTGAACTTGCTACTTCCTGATTATCTCGATCCAGGCCCCTGGAGCAGCATGGTATCAATCCACTTTGTTTTCTTTATAAAAGCCCTTCCCATACTTGAAGGACACCCTGTACACCCCTGGCTGCTGCACATACACCTTCTCTTCTCCAGGGTAGATCAACCCCGTAGCCTTTCACCTGTCTTCAGGGGCCATGTTCTCAGACTTTGAGTCCAGAAATTGAGTTTTCATTTCTTCTCCTGGCCTCGAAACTTCCTTTAACTCTCTTTGGTGAATTTGACCTTGGTTTTTAATTCCCCTTCCCCATCCTTTACTTTAGCACCCCCACCCCTCCACACCCCAGGCCAAATACTTTCCACCCCTTAGAGAAAACTGTTTATTATCAAGTTTCAAAAAGAAGGAAGGTGTTTGAGACCCGGTCCTCTCAGATGGAATTGCGCTGGCAGTCTCCACTAATTCCCATTTGAGGACCCAGCCCATCCAGCAGCTCTCTCTCCAGAGAGTCATCCAAACACCCGTCAGCGCCGCAGGGTAGGGCCTGAGCGGAGCATCCCTGTTAGCATTCTGTGGGCAGATCGAGTTTCAGGGCCCGTGGCCATTCACACTGTCGGTGTCGGGGTCGGAATCGTGCTTGGGGCAGATTGAGGCGGCGGCTGCAGGGACCCCTCACTGGGCTGGCGCACACCAACACTAAGAAGCGCTTCGGTCTCCTTGCCTGTCCAAGGGAGGGATCCAGGGATGGGGCCGTTTTTGACATTAAACTAGAGCACTTTGGCAGCTGGAAAAGTTGACGTGTGTGCCCTTTGATCTGAGGCCCTGTCTTCTTTCCACTCATTTGAATCGACTGTCCCGTGGTTTATTGTGGAAGTAGGTTTGGGGCATTGATTGCCTTTGTCTTCACCCTCTGTCCATATTTTCTGTAGAATGGTCTGTTCAAATCTAGCTTGAATTGAATTTCACGAGCTGTGTAGGAAGTAGGAGTTGATGATAATATCTGGCTTTCTGCATTTTGTCATGTTTTACCATCTGTGCAACACATGGAAAGTGAGATTTCTGTTCCTTTGCACGCTGGATATTCTGGAGGGCACACGTGATAAAAACTCTGGTCTCTTAGGTATTTTCACTGTCACCAAGAAGCCTTAACCTGGGACCCGTAGACGTCAGAGAAACCCGTGGTATGATTTGGGGGCTCCTTGAACAGATCGAAATTACGTGCAATTTTTGTGTGTGTATAAATTCTTGTTTGCATTTTTCCGGGGAATTTCCAAGGCATCTGAAATCAAATAGTGATGAAGGATGGCTGAATACAGGTTTCAGGATCCCGAATTGAGCTAGCTACATCTTCAAAGCAAGGCTGATTATATTGGTGTTGATTTCTTTTGTTTTTAAGGAAACTACCTTGGAAATCCTGTCTTAAAGCAAGCCTGTAACTGAACGTCTTTCTGACTCGGTCATCTGGTAGAGGACTCACCTTTCATGCACCACACACTGTGTGGAAACTGAAAGAAGACGGAAGAGTGCCATCTAGAGGCCCTAACCATAACTTCACCGCTTTCGAATCCGGCACAGGCCTCCCCACTACCTGGGGGTCTTTACTTGTAGTAACTTTTTAAATTAAGAACTTGTTTTCCCTCCCAGGTGGTAGCAGATCATAAAGGTGTGTGTCAAAGATATTTATAATCTGTACCATTGCTGCACTTGTGGGGTATAGCCTGGCTCCCCTGGAAACGTAATTTTAATACAAGTGTGATGTGGATGGCGTGTACTCTATTTCCTAGGTTCTTTCCTAAACCTACAGGTTTTAGGGTCTACGCTGCATTTGACTATATTTTTAATTATAAGGCAAGAACAAGTTGGTGCCTGCTCTAAAATCATTTTGATATAGGGACTTTCCTTTTTGTATTTTCTTTCAAAGTTAGAGTAAATTTAAAATGGAATAAATTGTCTTAATTATTCTCTATTCCTTTTAAGATTTAGAACAGTGTTTGCCAAATGGTGCAGAAACTGTGGGGCTGCAGAGTTGAATTCACTCCGGAAAAATAGATCAAACAGAATTAATATCCACACGAAGGGTGGTCGAGAGCATATCTGTTTAGTCCCAGCCCCGCCGTTACTCTGCAGTGTTGAGCACGTTCCCGTGTTTCCTCTTTTATAAAGGGGGCTAATAATAGAAGCTAATTTAGGGCTGTTGTGAAGATTCAATGAAATAAAGTTGGTAAGCACAGTGACTTGTATCACTTTTAAAAAGTGATATCTTTTAAAAGAAAGTCTTTTAAAATCAGCACCGATTTGTCCTTGCTCTTACCACAGGCCAGTTTTATCTTCGGGACCGCTGTAATGAAATGGAAACAGACAGTTTTGAGACCTATATCTTACAGGGAATTTCACAGGTTTTTTTTTTTTTTAAGTATCTTTTTTGTAATTGAAGTGTCACTAACATATAATACTGTAGTAGTTTCAGGAGTACAACATAGTGATTCAGCATTTGTGTGCATTACCAGTGACCACAAGAAATCTAGCTGCCTACCATCTGTGACCCTGTGAAGTTGCTACGCTGTGTTTTTGAAGTTTTAATTTATTTAAGTAATCTTCACACCCAGCGTGGGGCTCGAACTCCCAACCCTGAGATTAAGAGTCGCTCGCTCTTCTGACTGAGCCAGCCAGGTGCCCCTAAAGTTGTAACACTATCATTACCTATACTCCCAATGCTGCATATTGCTTCTTTGCTTCCTACTTATTTTATAACTGGAAATTTGTGCCTTTTATCCCCCTTCCTCTATTTCATCCACCTCCTCACTCCCCTCCCCAGAACTATAGTTTTAAAAAGCATTTTCACAAACATAACCTTGTTTGATTAGGATTTCCATAAATATTCATATACTCCATAGCTATTGATTCAGCTCCTTTTAGGTATAAAAACCATCTCTGCTATTGGGGGTTTGATACTGGAAACATCGCTAAGAAAGACCTGGGCCTCACACTGTGGTCGGGGTAGCTGGACAACAAAGAAGTAAATAAGGTGGTTTCAGAAGAAGTCATTTGTGTGGAGGGAATTCGTGTGGTGGACTGGAGTGACCGGAGGCCCACTTTAGACTGAGTTGGTGGCCAGGGAAGAACTCTCTGAGCAAGTGGCATTTAAGTTCTCTCCTGAGTGGCAAGGAGCCAGCGGTGTGAAGGTCCAAGGAAGCAGCAAGTGCAAAGGCTACCGTGGGGAGTGTGCTAAGCACAGGCACGGCCCAGAGAGATTGCCGGTGCCGCTGGAGCTCCGTGAGCAGAGGGAGTGTGGCAGAATGTGAGGCCAGGGGCAGAGATGGTGGCCTCTGGGTCCAGGACTTTGGACTTCATTCTCTGGTTGTGGGAAGAGACTGGAAAGTTGTAGGCGAGGTCATGCTAGCTCAGATTTACGTCTTAGACACAGGCCCTTTGCTTCTCCCTGGAGACCAAATTGTCAGGGAGCAAGGGTGGAAGTGGAAAGACCAGCTAGGAGACTTTTGCAGGAGTCTAAGCAAGAGATGGTGGTAGCCTGGACGAGGATGTTCAATGAATGGCTCAGGAGCTGGGGTCCCGTCCACAGCCATGCGCAGTCCAGAGGCAGCATGGCGCGTGGTTAAAGGGCGCCAGCCGAAGCATCAGACTCTCAGCTTTGGGATCTGACTCACTGTGATCTTGGCCACGTGTCTTGACTTCTCCGTGCCTGTGTTTTACCATCTCTAAAACAGCAGTGACGATAGTGCCTTCCTGCTTAGGTCTGCTGTGGGGATGAGGTGAGAGGAGAGGAGTTGTTCCAGGCTCCAGAGACCGTGTGTTAGTACTGCTCTTCTTATCACCGCCGCCGTCTTCGACACAGGCACTACTCCCGCGTCATCCTCGATACCCCCAGCTTGCGGATGACAAAACTTAGAGGGTGGTTTTGAAATCAGAATACAGGTTCCTTGATTGTGAGTCCGTTGCACTTTCTGTAACATAATATGTAGTATGAGCCATCCAAGAAAATACTCACCTGAATCTCCATAGTTCCGAGCCCAGTTGTGTGCCCTTGTGAGTGTTTAAGTAAACATCGAGAAGATGATAAGTAAGGCAAGCAACAGAGTCCCTGTGTGGGGTAGGGAGCGTCCTGTGCCTCTCCTCCGACACCTTGGACCACTGGAAATTTAGAGTTTGAGGTTGGAAGAGCGCTCTGGACACCACGCCAGAAGCATTAGTATGCACGTAGTAATATATATAGGAAGGTAGAACTAAATGTTTTGAGAGCTTTGTAAGATACTGTATCTCTTTAGAGGACACTCCATTATTCATTAATTGTGTCAAGTGGGGCTGTACATCATATAAACAAATGAAACTCATGGATTATCCCTAGACTGTCTGGGCAGACTTTTAACGAAGGTATTAACCCCACTGCCTCTTTCCTCCGCCTCTTCCTGCCTTTGCCCAGTCCCTTGTGGAGTAAGTGGTGACGTAAGGAGCAAGAGAGACAAATTGGAAGCAAGGAGCTGGAAAGTCCGTCTGCTTGCCTTGCCTTGCCCCGAGCTCCTCGGCTGCATGGGTACCTCCCTTGTTGAGACTGAGCAAGGGACTGAACAAGAGACTGAGGCTCTTCTTGTCTGTTGCAGAGTGTGAGCACCTGATCCGCCACATGCTGGTGTTAGACCCCAGTAAACGCCTCTCGATGGAGCAGATCTGCAAGCACAAGTGGATGAAGCTAGGGGACGCCGACCCCAACTTTGACAGGGTGAGCTGGGTGCCGCTTGCCTCAGGAAGCTCCTCTCAGAGCCCCAGCCGTCCCTCTTGCCCGGGATCGTCATCAGGCCAGGACCCAAAAAGATGGGTGCTGGGAACAGACTACTGTGTGCTACTCAAGCAGCAAGGGATGCATGCCAGCAAGAGGGAATTTTTAACCAGCTGAGTTGTTGGAGAAGAGTGATACCAGTCCCTCCTGCTTGTCCCCAAATCATAGTCCCTCCTTGGCTGTCGAAACAGCGCACATTTCTGGCTGCTCCTCTACCATGGGGTATCTCCTTCCTCTTGTCTGTGTGTTCGGTTCGGTGGCTTCTGTGGCATACCTTTATTTAAACCGTTATGGCCATCCCAAAGGACCTCAGGAAAATGGAGATCTTGTCTGCCTACAGCTGAGTATCTAGGACTTGCTTGCTCAGGGTTGTCTGAGGCCAAAAATATCCCAAGCTAGGGGGCATGGAACAGCCTGTTTATTATATACGGTATGCCATCTTGACATGGTGAGTTGGGGCTTTGATAGCTTGCCTTTTTTTAATGTTACAGTTAATAGCTGAATGCCAGCAATTAAAGGAAGAGAGACAGATTGATCCCCTGAATGAGGAAGTCCTCTTGGCCATGGAGGACATGGGACTGGACAAAGAGCGGACACTACAGGTATCTCTAAAGGAGTGGAGAACAAAGTAAAGTGTAGCCGCTTTCCCTCTGTCCTGCCCTTTCCACGTTTTCTCCTCCCTGGGAACTTTAGTCTGTTTGTTTTCTTCCTGTTCTTCCTCTGCCCCTCAGTGAGCCTTGACCAGGAGATGCTTGGTCTTCTCCTGTACCATTGAAAGGGTTTTGGTTACTGACATGCCATTTCACCAGGGTTTTCTACTCTTTTCCCTTCTCTCTTGTTAGTCATTAAGATCGGATGCCTACGATCACTATAGTGCAATCTACAGCCTGCTATGTGATCGACATAAGAGACACAAAACCCTGCGTGTCGGAGCGCCTCCTAGCTTGCCCCGTGCCATGGCCTTTCAAGCACCAGTCAATGTCCAGGTGGGCAATAGCTTCAGTGACCTGATTCAGGACAAGTAACACAGGGGAGGAGGGATGGGTACCCACTGCTCACTAAGTCTAAGAGAGTTACCTGTTCTTCCTTACCTCCATCCCCTCCCGTCTGTCATCTCTTCCTTGTCAAGCGGAGGTCAGAACCTTTCTTTGACAGAGAGGATGGAAAGATATTCCAGTACTCAGGATGGACAACAAGAGTTAC